AATTTAGAGATAACTCAACCGAAATCACAGTGGAAACTTCAATTAAATACACTCAACATGAATAAGCCAAGCAAGTGTCATAGAAACTCCCCAATTCAACAAGCACAACACTAGCCGAGATACCTCTCAATTAGCAACAGACAATCGGCAAATTGGCAATTAAGCACTGGCTCCAGTTGGCCAGATAAGGTCCTAACTCCAAACTGGCAATTGTAACAATGACAGTGTAGAGATTTGACAATCAAACCAAGCGCCTAAGCTACCCAATTCAACAGGCAATAGTAGGACCAATTAACTCGGCTAAATAAAAAACTCAAGGAAATTAAAAATGCAAATCAACCCAAAAGCACCGTTGACCTTTAACTTGGCAATTGAATACCACTACAATAGCAGTGAATCTCCCAAGCAATGGAATGCCATTCGACCAAGGAATAAACCCAATTAGTGTAAGATGGGCTAGTACCTCTACCGAAGATAGTGGCCAAACAAAAGTTCTGGTGGAGTCTGATGGTGGCTTCGCGTGGTGCGTGGGTGGCCGACAAAAGAAGAGGAGCAGGCCGCGGCGGCTGTGAACTGGTCGTCGCTGGTAGAGGAGAGGCCAGCGGATCGAGCTGGGCTGCTCTGCTTGGTGGGCGTGGGCTGTTCGAGAGGAGCTGCGCGCGATGGTAGTGGCGGGAGTCGCGCGGCCGTGGGACGGAGGTGGCGATGCAGTGGAGCTCAGAGGAGCTGGAGGGAGGCACGGCTGCCTGGCTGTGCGAAGTGGATGGCTGGTTGGTCCTTCGCGCGAGACGCGAGGTGGTGGCGTGAGTGAGGTGGGCGGCGCGAGTGGGCGGCGGGCAAAAGGGATTCGGACAACAGAGAGAGAGCAGGGGAGAAGGAAGAAAGAAAGAAGAAAGAAGAAAGAAAGAAAAGAAGAAGAAGGAAAAAGATTTTTTTTTTTTTTTTTTGGGAAAACTGAGCTACGGTGAAAAAGGGAAGAAAAAAAAATTCTTTTTTTTTTAAATTGAGAAACCTAGCTGCGGTTGAGAAATTTTTCTCTTTTTTTTCTTTTCTTTTTTTTTGAATCCTTACCTTTCCCGCGAACGTGACGCGGGCACGTCATGAGGGCAAGAGAGCTCCCAGAAGTTTCAGAAATTTCTGATCGTGAGCATCCTGCACATCACTACGCGGGCACGTCATGACTGAATGGCACCTATAAATCAGCAAAAACGAAAACTGAAACCCAAAATCAGTCGAATTTCAGGAGAACACTTCTAAACTACTACACGAAATTGAACAACCAACTAAAAGAAACAATTGGGTTGCCTCCCAATGAGCGCCTTTCTTTAATGTCTTTGGCTAGACATTATCACGTTTTGTTCATGGAGGATAAAATCTTGTGGCTCGTCTCATTGCTTCATCCTCTACATAGTCCTGATAGCCCTCGTAGATAGAATAATCTTTGGGCATACGAGTTACGGGCTTCCATGGACTAGTAAATGGCGCCAAGCGAGTCGATGATAATTTGCATTCTCCAATCATTCCTCCCTCACTTGCATTTATTGGTTGAAGATATCTCGCCATCGCCACTCTTAATTTATTCCTGTCATGAAATTCAAAATTGTCTGGTATAATAAAGTCAATTTCGTTAACAGGAATTGAAGAATAAGAGTCAGGAGAATATTGATGAAGGAGTGGAGAAGATGTCACCGCATTTGGAGATTGTTCACTGGATTCATTCACTTGAACGAGTTGATCTTGGAGTCTCATTTCTTGCACTTCAGCTTCATTTTCAACTGCATCTTTAAATCCGTTTTCTTGAAACTCTTGCAGTTCCATGTCATTTGGCCGGACAATTGCACTCTCATCTTGCTCAAGATTGATATTGGTTTGTGCGGGCAATTCTTCCATTTGAGAAGCCAATCGATCTATCCTGGATGTCAATTGACGCATTTGATCCGCCAGGTCGCGAAGGCTCGCTTGTGTCTTCTGATGATATCGATTTAGGCTCGCTTGTGTCTCCTGATGAAATCGATTTGAATTAGCAATTAGTAAACCTATCATTTCTTCAAGAGACATACCTGACACGGAGGATGATTGCTGAGACTCTTGCTGTTGAAAATCCATTGGCCCCGTCGCATAATCAAAATTGGAATTATCCCACCATTCTTGATCATACCCGTTTGAATAAGGGTTATACTGCGTTTGATATTGGGGTGGAAAATCTCCAAAAGTATCAAGTGGAGTACTTAAATTATCTTAAAATACGGGGCATGTGTCAGTTGAATAACTTGAGTCAAAATAAGTTTCACAATTTGCAACAGCCCATTGATCATTAGGAAAAACATGAGTCTCATAACCCCATTCAGGAACAAAATCCAGTCTATCATCAAAATATGGAATGTTAGCAGCCATAAAAAAAAAATAAGAGAAAAATAAATTAAAAATGAAAACAAGGTGAACTCAAAAAGAAACAAATTAATCTGACACCAGTCCCCGGCAACGGCGCCAAAAATTGACAGGTGCCGAACCTGTGCAATAATAAATACCTGCTCAAATAAAATACAAATTCTGTATATAGCGGTAAGTAGGGTCGAATCCACAGGGATTGGGGATAATTTAATTTCTTCTCAAGTTCCAGATATGGGGAGTTTTTGAAAATGAGAGTAACTAAATTGCTTGGAATAAATTAAAATAAAATAAAATAACTACAACTCAAATAACTAATTATCACAATAAAAATAATAATGGACGAACTCTAGCCAAGAGACAACTTCGGAGATGGTTCGCTTAATTCGATCACAGATGCAAGGATTATTCCAGTTACTATCTGATAAATTAGTTATAGTTGTCATACACGCGATAAACAACCAACTCTTCCTCAATTTGTCGATAGCCAAGGTACGACCGTTGACTATTTCTCTAATCAGGAAATAACCCTAGGTACGACCATAGAAGTTCAATTCCCTAATTGCATGAATAATTAGAAGAGGCTAATTCTAACCAATCAACACGCTACGAGGGTCTCTTTAAGTTAGCCTGTCTATCCCCCTGACACAAATCCAATCATGCCAGTTGCCACCAGTTTAGAATAATTAAACAATTACGGATTTAACTATCCTAATTGGCTTCAGGTTATTGAATTAATCTAGAATCCGGGCCCTGGATAATCGAATGATAAAACAACCATATGAACATAAAGCAGAAGATAGACAAATACCAGTGAATAATGGAAATAAATAGAAACTAATTCGATCTCACAAATTTAGTAGAACCAAGTCCTCCGTTGTTCTTGACTAGACAAACTTAACCACGTCTCATGAGAAAATCTTCAAGTAATTTCATTGAGGTCCAGGCCATCGTCTCCGAGAGTTAAGAAAATTCAATTCGTCCCAATCGATAAGAAAAGCAAACTACCAGAAGTGATAGCTAATTCCTAATTCTCCCTGACATGCGCAGGGAGCAAAGCTACTAAAGGACAAAAAATACTGAAAAGAAAAGTCAAAGAGGAACCAAAAAGATAGTGCTTGTTCTCTGCAAACTCTATATTTCCTAAGTGCTTATTCCTACTGTGCGGCGTCCGCCGCACGAGAGGAAGCAGAAGACCCTGAGGTTTGCTTTCTTTTTCCTTTTTCTAGTTGCTGTCTTCGGTCAAAATTACCAATAAGGTCTTGCATTTTCTTGTTCCAAGAATGCCCCTTGATTGCCTGCTATTTGAACTCTTTCCTGATAATTGTCAAATTGGCCTTGATTGTGATATTTTTGTTCTACTCCCTGAAATAAATGTAAATTACGAAAAGTGAGTAGAATTTAATAATTAATTCACATCAGGTTAGGTAATAGGGGAAATTAATAATAAAATAAATGATAAAATTGCAACCTATCACCATGACTGCAGATATCAAGTATGAGGCATTTGCTGGGAATGCTTGGGAGAAGACAAGCTCATATAATAGAATTTTGGCCCTGGGGAATGTAGATGATGGTTATCAAGGTAGCTATCCTTTGAAGTCTTACACCTATTTACCCTTTCAAGTTTCTTTCGTATTTTTGCTAGGTTAGAAATTATGACCACTTCATCTAGGAAATACGAGAATGATTGGTTTGATAATAGGTATCCACTTTTGTAAACTTCATAGCTATTGGGTCTATTTTCTTTTGAAGTTTAGTAGCATGACAAGTCTGTAATTTTGGAAGTTTCACACATACTACAGCTCTCTCTATCCTTAATTATTTATCACTTCATGTAAGACATAGGCGAAAATATCTACAAATCAGGGATGGAAATACCTAACATAAAGGGATAAAATAAAGATAGGCGTGAGAAAAGTAGTGGCCAAGAGTTTGCTTTCACAGGGAAAAATGGGAACTTGGACAAGTACAGTCGTTCACATTATAGTGGTATATTTTTGTTTGTTTGCTATACGGATTAGTGTACAATCATATTTACTCCTCCCTTAACAAGCCATCATTATAAAACCCTATACAATTCGAAAGCCACATACATCACCTAAACAAAAACAAGGCAAAATTTTGCATGCCCCAAAAAAAAAATTGTAAGCAGAAAAAGGGGGCCAGCAACAAAATTTGCTCCAACATCAGTAGTAAAGTTGGGATTTTAGTAGTGGGATTTTAGTTATGGTAACTTTTGTTTAAGAAGAGAAGCTTATATATATGCAGATGTTTGGACTTGAGGGATGTAAAGGACAGTTATCAGGATAGCTATTCTTAAATTCTGAAGAATTTTAAACCATAGCTATTAATGGAGGAGAAAAAGAGAAAACTTGATAGAGGCTATGCCTCCAGCTATACCTACTACCAGGTTTGTAGCCTCACTTCCCTTTAAATCTTACTCTTGATATGTATACTACTAGTTGCAATAGTAGCAGTGTATTGCACATTAGCTCGTTAATCTCATTGTAGTTTTTTTTTTTTTGGTCGAAACGATAGGAAATTTCATTATCATAAAAAAACAAGTTACATGTACGAGCAACGGCTCGAGGGAACTGTACAAAAAGTGTTCAAAGAACACTGAGGAAAGTTCGTTCCTCATCCACAATTACGGTTAAAGCGTCTGCACTCAGTTTTCTACTATCTAACATATTTTCTTCCTTTTCCAACCCAAAAGAGCACATGCAAAACAGTCTTTTCAGATTCATAATATCCTCCAACAATGTAGCCATCTTGCTATCTGATGGTTGTTGCTGTGTTAGTTGTTTCCATAACTCTTTGCTACAAAAATTGAGTCGTACCTTTCTCCACTGCTGGTGCACAGCTTTACACAGGGCCAATTTTAAAGCCAATGCTTCATCTAACATTTTGCTCCCCAGGCTTCTCTCTTTCAGTACCCAGTCTGCAATTTTAGTGTTTGCTATTGTTCTTACTGTGACTCCTATTCCAAGGCCATTCTGTTCTTGCTCCTTTGCTGTTGTCACTGCTAAAATTATAGCCCCTTCGTTTCCAGTGCTCTGTCTTTGTTGTTCATTTGCAGGGACTGTTTTTTCTGTACTCTTCCTATCTCCCTGTTGAAGCTCTAAACCTTGTTCCAGCCATTCTTTATGCGCACAGTCTACTATTCTCATTGGTGTTGATCTAGCTGAGCTCTCAAATTCCTTCTTATTCCTATCTTTCCATACCTGCCACAGTATATTTGCTGTCAGACCAATATGATCCCCCCTTCTGGTCTACTGCTTGCTTCTGAAATTCGCAGCCACCATCTCTTGAAATGTCCCTTCTAGTCTATTGCTCCATCCCATTGAATGGGAGTTGATTTCCATATATCCATAGCATGGGAACAGTTGAGCAGCAGATGTTCTATAGTTTCCCGTGCCTCACCACAAGTTGAGCATATAGGATTGCCTATTCCTGTTCGTCTCCACACTGCCTCCCTGACTAGTAAGGCTCCTTGAATACACTTCCATATGAAGTGTTTGATTTTATGCTTAACATTAAGCCTCCACAGTGTATTCCACATCTGAGTCATTTGTTGACTTTCCTCTGAGATGCTTGATCCTACTCCCTCCAATTTGCACCTCCTCTTGCTTCTACCCCTTTCCAACAGCATTTTATAACCTGATTCAACTGTATACTTCCCTCCCGCTTTTGATTTCCAGTAGAAGCTATCTTCCCTCCCAGATAAGTTTAAGGGGATACGTAGGATCTTCTCAGCATCTTCTTTGCTGAAGGTGCTGAATATGATATTTCTGTTCCATCTCTGCTGGCATATTAGCTCATCCACCATTTCCAGCACACAATTACTTGTTCTGCACATAGCTGGCTTTCTCGTGAGTGTCTCCAGTATCCATTTGTGGTCCCAGATTCTCGTGCTTCTACCATTTCCAATTCTCCTAATCAAGCCTTCATCTAGTAAACCTCTTGCTCCCATTAATCCTTGCCACATCCATGATGCGTTCTTAGGAGGGGTGCATTGTAAAATGGATTCTTGAGGGAAATATTTAGCCTCATTGTAGTTACTGAAACGAAAATCATCTCAAGACTAATAAAAAGGAAAAGAGTTTTAATGAATTAGGCTGTTTTAAATTATGTTTTAGCTAAGCAGAAGGAATCATCAGTTGAGTTGATTCATTTTCAAGTCCAAACATTTAGACCAACATCACTTGATTGAGAGAACAAATTTGTTATTGTTATAATGAAACAAAACTACTATCTTAATGCTATTTTTTCAATATATTAGTATCTTAATGAGATGATTATTTTGTTTATCAGCATGTATTAAATTTGACTTCTCGTAGGATGGGCGATATCTCGTAATTGTAATTCAAACATCTATCACTATTATAACTTATTATTGTTCTTTCTATTTTTCTTGGACAAAATTGGAAAATTAGGTAGGGATTAGTTAACTAAGGTTTAGCATTGTTGACTCTTTTTGGATGCATTAATCGATGTGTGTAGGCTTTTATTTCCATTGAATGGAAGGTAGCTCGTAAAGGAGAGGGCTGATGCGAGAAGAAAATGGGGTTGTGCTCATCTACATTTTAGAGAAAGGTGGGTTTTTGGATTGGTGGTTGAGTGTGAAGCGTATTGGAAAGAGCCGGGTTGTGCTTGGAGAAAAGGTTAGGTAATGGGACAAGAAGGTGTCAACTTGGGATTAGAAGAGGGATTGACTTCTCTTCAATGAATTCTTTCCTCATTTTTCACAATACACATTTGAATGCATTACACGCGTTTTCATTTACTATGAAAAAACATGATTGATGGGATTTTGCTATATGTACAAGTTAAAAAATTCGATTTACACCCGTTTCACTGCAAGTATACAGGTCAACTAGTAGTTTAAAGTATATATCGGGTCGATTCCACGAGGAAGATTGAACAATTACTGGCACTACTAAAGCTTCTATATTATTTAGACTATTAATGAATTATAACAAATGACAAATGAAAATACTATTAATGAATTACTGAACTTATACAAGAAAATACCAAATGAAAGCTCCTTAGGTTATGGTATTCCTAACTACTCATGCAAGTACTATTTTTTTGGATCATTGAAAACTACTATCTTGGTTAGTTATGGTGTAATTTCCTTATGCATATGAATCCTACTTTCGTAGTGAATCAATTATACTCGTAACTAATCCATACCTATTCTCATGGTTATGAAATTAGTTACATGTTCATTTCTTCTGTGAAATTACTTGAAATGAATCACTAAAATCACATAGGTGCACCTCTACTCTCGTGAGTATACTCCCTGTGTTTAGCACTTCTTGAACCAGTGTTAAATCTCAATTTTCATTGCAGAAACAACACCTTAGATAATTACAATTAATGGTACCAAATTAATCATGATTAAAGAACTAAAGTGCTAAATAACTTGCTCAAATAATAGCATCAAATAACCAAATAATAAACACTAACAATCATAGAAAGTTCAACCAAACCCAAGGCATAAACTTTAAAGATACATAATAAATACAAAATCCAGAACTTGCATATTAACCATACTTAAGAATCCAATACAAAAGATAAAGAGTTGGAGAAGAGATAACCATTGTCACATGAGGTTTAACTCCTCCTTCTTCATCTCCATCATAATCTAGTCAATATATAAGAGTGGATGAGCTATACTACTCTATACTAAACTAATCTAACACACAGAAAATGGAAGAGCTACATTTTTCCAGACTCCAAGCTTCTCCAAAAATTGCTCGCCCAAGAGAATATGACCAGCCTCAGTTTTTATCCTAAAATTCTGATATCCTCCATTCACGTACCGTATTTTTCTTCTCCCCTTTGATTCTCTAAATCTGGTGTTAACCAAGTCAACAAAACAAAGTTCCAGCCTCTTGATTATACCGTATATTTTTGACTTGACAATAAGCTATTTTTCTTCCTTTGTGTATCAGAAACATGTGCAGCCTACGTTTCTCTCCAACTGTAGCTGGAAAGTAGTGTGAAGATGAGAAAAATGGCCGAGTAAATTGCAGAAATTCGGCTGCCATACATGTTTTCACTTTTGACCTCACTTCAACTGCAATTTTCTCTATGATAGCCGCAGAACTGGCTGTTATGTAAAACACAAAAGTTGTAGCCCTTTGAATTAGCGTTCCAATGCTTCAAGAATCATCTAATTTGGAGATTGGTGAACGGAGATATGGTCGAAATACCATAGACTGGTCAATTCTGGGCTTCAGTTTTCGACCATCCGGATAAGTTTCTGTGTTTTGACTTTTTGACCAGGAAAATGGCTGAATTGGATTTTGATGTCTTCATACCAAATGTAAATATATCTTTTAGCTTCAAAATGATACAAGAACCATCTCAATCCAATCACTGTATCTCAAGTTATAGCCGAAATACGAAAATATGTCAAAACTGTCAAAAATGCACAAAATGCAAGTAAAAAGTGATAAAAACTTCATTAAATCACTTAAGACATTTTTCCCCAATTATAGCCAAAATGATTCATTTTCTTCCAATAATATAACCAAAGTGACTAAAAATAATATAAAATGTCATTCAATTATTACGTAAATTAATCACTTATCAATGATCAATTTAAGTTTAACTAATTTTAATGCTTGTTAATAAATGGAGACACGTGTCATATATTCAAATGTACACTATGAGAAATAAAGAAAGAATCCACTGAAAATGAGCTAAAATAGGTAGAGAAGGTAGCGGGTGTATGTATATTTGAGAAAAAGAGTTTCGCTTGAGGAACAGGTTTAATAGTTGGGGGAAGAAGGAATTGGTAACGATGGCCAGAAAATGATGAATGTACTCTTTTTTTTTGGTTGAATTCTTACATGAACGGTAGTGATTTCATTTTATATCAAAGGAGGTAAGTGTAATATTATTGAAACAAAGAGGGAGTTGAGTGTAATTATCATAAACCTCAAATGAGGTTTATCTCAAGGGAGGTTTTTAAAATTATACCATAAAAATATAGAGGGTGTTAGGTGAATATAGTAAAACAATTGAGGCCAGAAAAAATAGTTAAACAATTGCGGGATAACGTGGTAGAATACAAAATCATAGAAGGGTTAAATAATAATAATGGATCCTTTTATCTATTAGATTTTCATTACTTGGATATTATAAGCGTCCATAATTAGTTTAATTATGATGGGCATCCTCCATTTCGATGTAGTTCATCAATCCATTTTGGATTGTATAGAAGTGGATTGCAATTCGTTCTGCCTACATGAAGTACTTCAAGGTCATAATGTGATAATGAAAGGATATACATATGCGTAAGATTTGTGGATATGGAAAATAAACACTTTTGGAGAATTCATAGTGGAAAATTGTCTATACTATTCAAATTTTTATGATCTTTAACTTTTTCTATCTTTCAAATAGAAATTAACAAGTTCAGCACAACCATATGGAGGTGAAATTGCAAAGAAGTTCTTCAGCAGTAAGTTGCAAGGTAGATTCCCCATCCTGTCCCCTTCCCCCTTCACAAAAAAACTGCGTTGGTGAATTTTAACCATAAGATCTACTCTAGTTATTGAACAATTTATGAACAATTCATAAGTTACTCAATAGCTAATGAAATCTTGCCAAGTGCATAATTACTCCTTCTATCATCCCAATATGTTTATCGTTCTTCGAGAATCCAACTTTTTAAGAATAATACTTTAATTATGATATTTGTATTTTTCTTTTCAGTTTGATTCTCCAAATTTTGAATTTTGAATTTTAACATAAAATGTGCATAAATAGAGACATGGACAACATTGGAAATAGAAATTAAAAATGACTTTAACTTGTATGGCATAACAAATATATTGGAATATTTTAGAGTGAAATAGATGACAAATATTTTAGAACTTAAGGGTGTAATATGTAATAAGTACATTTGGCAAGGAATGCCAAGTCAAATTTGACTGACTGTAACCCACTTCTATTCTATGTCCCCTCCACCGCGGTTCTGCACTCCACAATCTTCTCCATTCGCATTTGCCCAAAGGGCTGCAGAGAGTTGAGTGAGGGAGGAAGAAGGCATAAAGGAAGATAACTAAAATAATATGTGTTTGAATAGGGTATTATTTGAAATAATTACTATAGTACTTTTTATGATGTGATGTATGTGAACTAAAAAATAGTTGGAAATATAAAAAAATGAATTGAAACATGCGTTTATGATGCAAACGAAATATTATTTGAGATAAATTTACAATCCAAACACAGCTACAAAGCCACAAAAGTAATAAAAAATTGTAAATAATGACTTGGCATATACTTTTGCTAACTAGACTCATTGGTCATCCACTTAATAAGTTTCAATTGGCTATCCTTAAAAAAAAATATATTTTTAATTAACTATTGAGCAACCCTATGGATTGTCTGTAAATTGCTCAATGACCATAATAAAGTTTGTCCCCAGTTATCATATGTCAATTAAAAAGAGAGAAAAATGCAGTTTTGATACCTAAATTTTGACACATGAATGGTTTTAGTCCCCAAATTTTGGGCAACAACAAATTTGGTATCCAAATTTTGAAATTTCGAGCACATTTAGTACCCTTGACGTTTTTTTCCCAAATTGCTATCGGAAAAGTCACGTGGCAGTCATATGTCCGGTCACTATTATATAAAAAAATGTCAAATATCATTCTAATACTAAGTATTAAGTTTAAGGACTAATAATGTAATTAAAAAAAATCTAAGGACTAAATAGAATCACATGAGTCATTTAAAAAAAAAAAAAAAGAGTTTGACAGAGTTTTACATCGTTTTCTTCTTCAATAGCGCTGTCTACAATTTTTTTTTTTTTTTGTTGTGATTATACTAGTATACTACTGTCTACATCTTTTGATGGAGACTTTCCTCTTTCTTTTTTTTTTTTCCCTTGCTGGCAAGCTGCAAGTCGGGCTTTCGTTTATTAGTAGCAAAGTTGTTGGTCCCAAC